TGTGCATGAATCCATTAAGCCAAACTCGTTCGAAAGCTTGAGATATGTCGAGAAAAATAGCACAACAGTTTTCCCGCTGTTTGAAGGCTGAGCGTATTTCTGACGTTAATCTGTTGACTTGCTCAATGTCTCCATGTTTTCTGCGGAAGAAACCATATATGCTTCCAGATACGGTATTATCTGGAATATGTGAGTTAGCGAGCATTTTTCAAACAATTTAGACGACGAAGATAGAAGTCTTATTGGTTTTTACGATATCGAAATTGTGTGGTCTTTTCCAGGCTTCGGTATCGTTATGGTAATGAATTTCTACCACTTTTTTGGAAATAGCCAAGATTGATGATCCCGTTAAATAACCTTTAGCGATTCCGAATAGCGATTCGGAAGTTTGATTAATATCTTTGGCGTTAGTACCTCAGCATCGGGAGCGTCTTTTGGTTTCAGCTCCCTTATGACTTTTTCTATAAAACGATCTCCAAGTGAACTGTAGAACTAAATAAATTGTCGTTTCGTGATTTAGAAGCTAGGAGCGGAGTAAATGGCAGCGATAGAAAGCCTTACATTACTTGATTGAATCTGTATTGATGTGCCTGCAAGAAGTTTGTTGCAAACCTTGTGTGACGTAGGATTTTTATACCATGATCTGTGTGGAAGATTGTATAGCAACTTATTTAAAAGTTGCTTTTGATTGTAAAATGCGTTTCCACCAGTAGCATAACGTCAATATGGTTTTCGGTCAAGAATTGTGACAATTCTAAAGTATGCCGTGAGACACCATTGGCGTTCCACATTATTTGCAGAGTCTGCATAGATTGTTTAGACTGTTGTGTTACGAGCAGCTATCTTACAGTGTTCTGGTTTTGAACAAGTGTTTGCATGGTCATTTTCATGAATGACATTGGCTCTCTCATATTTTGTTGGAGGCTAAGCATCATAGTTTCCGTTTTGCTATGTGGCTGCTCTGAGGCCTGTTGAGCGCTTTATGAATTAGGCTGAATTGGATTTTTTATTCCAGGTCGTAAAGGTCATCAGCATAGAAGAAGTCGTTGGTGGTGTTTAGGAGACTGAATGAGCACCTCGCAGCTTTGGTGAAGAAGACGTCTGACGTATTTTTAGACACAATGTACACATTCTAAGGATTTTGATCGCGCCTTGCGGTCGCTTGTCGCAAGCGACGCTTTAACTTCTCGTACATCACACATCCTCTATAGTTTGCCATAAGGTACCCTCCGCAGTTGCCACATTTCTTCACGGTACTGTTTGTAGTGCTTGTTGGTAATGCAGTGAGCGGAGTTGTGGGCGTCTCCGCAGACTACATAGAAACCCCGAAGTGTGCAGTATGACCTAAGATGTCCATACTCTTGGCAATAAGTGCGTTGCACTGGACCGTTGCGTTTATGTGACAGTGACACTGCTATGTAAAAGATATTGCAGCTTGTACATTGGGTGGACTCCGTGGGCGAAGTTTCGTGGACTTTTCTTTATGGGCGGTTTTTATTTCCGCGGCGGTAACGACGGGATCCATTCCCTTTAATACCACTTGTAGGCCCTTGGTGCTTTTCAGCTGGCACCTGTAGTTTTTCTTAACATTGTCCACATATTTGCACACGACTCTTCAGTCTTTGTTTGTAGCGTTGTTTCATGGATGTTCTCTTTAATAAGCGGGACAATATGAAAATTGTTTTACCGTTCCCGATCAACGCCAACAGTTTTTTTTTTAAACAAAAACGGGACTTATGCAAAATCCGAACTCTCTTACTCTAAAAACACCAAATCTATACCGTTTCGATCAATTAGTTATATGTCAGATACAGAATATAGTCGGTCGATCTCCGCCGCACAGTGGCCGATTTGGGTAATTTAGCGTCAGATGTGGAATATCTTTAAAAATAATGATAATTTTAAAAAATTTGAAATTTTTATGGAATGTCACCCAATAAGAAATAAAATTTATTAATTTTAATTAAGTAAAATTTTTAATTTTTTTTAATTACATTTTTTTACAAAATAAACTAGTTTTAGTTGTCCTAGACTGAATCTACATTTTTTTTCTAAGTCAAAATCCGAATTTTTATCTTGAGCAATGTAGTCCAGAAGAAGATCCTGGCCTTTAATCTCAAAGGAAACTGCCTTGCTGGAGTTATTGGCCAAACTTTTGGAACTGCTTGTAATAAGTAGATCTGACGATACTATCAATTAATGCAAAAGATCCTCCATTGTTTTTTGGCGAGATCTTTTACGCGTATGGCTCAAGCGAAAATTTCTTAAATCCTTGTTTCGGGCTTCTAAGGCTTCTTCTTCATTCCGATCGGAAGTGGTACATTTTCTATAATATCCGCCCCGTGAATCTATAATATCTATCTAATAATATCAATAATATGCCTTGATCATCCAAAAGAACCAAATGTTCGGTTAACCAACCTGAGTTCTTTCTCTCGAAACGCTTCTTACATCTATTCGATTTTTTCTATCTTTTAGAAAGAGTTTTGCAATAATTTTCCATCTCGCAACATTTGTATTTATCAACATAAAAACAAGAAAATCGCTAAGAATGTAATTAAACACTGAAGAAATCTTCTTTGTGGCGTCTGCTTCCCCATGCCATACTGCAAAAAGTGCTTGTTTACATGCGGAAATGATTGCTGAAAATATTGCTAAATTTAACAGGGGCACGTTGTGGCAGCTGAACATGGATAATTTATGCATTAGACGAACCATAGCTTACCACAAATATACTCTTTTTGCGGGCCGAGGCGACCTTCACAAAGTTTTCCTCCACAGAAGTTGAAAATTGTTATAAAAAAGGGTACTACAAACATTGCTGCTTTTAAACATACATTATGAATGCAACATCTACTCACAGGTCACAAAACCTTTATTTTCGTTTACTACATACCTTAAACTTTGAGAAAATGCTAAAATTGATTTCGAACAGACAAAATCAAAAAAAGTGTCGCAAATATAAATAGACGTCGATCAAGCCAAATTCAACACATGAAAATTGTATAGTACCAAATCTTAGCTTTGAGAGCTTACAGCTGATCTAGTATATGAAGTTTATAGGTTTTGGTATTTTTTTTACCAATATTCAATTATTTGACTATTGGTAGGAAACAAAATTTTAATGAATTTAAACAGTTGAAAATTTGCTTAATCTGACGCTAGAATAGCCAAATCGGCCACTGTGCGCCGTTCTGACTTATATACTGTGTGCAAAGGAAAGAAGGGTGTGTGCAAAGTTTCAGGTCGATAGCTTTAAAACTGAGAGACCAGTTTGCGTAGAACCAGACAGACAGACGGACATGCTCATCAACTCATCAACATCAACTCAGGAGGTGATCCTAATCAAGAATATATTTACTTTATAGGGTCGGAGATGTTAAACTCTTGTGGAACTCTTGGCCCAAATTATTAAAACGCAATAACCTCACTTCCAATAGATGAAATGTCATGCAATTTTTACTTGAAGTCGATAGCAGGTTTTAACGCACCAGTTGACATATAGATGGCGATACTAGAGGGCGCTTCATTCAAAAAGTCCTGTTTAATTTGGAACGTACTTTGTAATACCCTCTGCAAGGGTAAAATAAAAGAAAGGAAAGCTAACTTTGAGCGGAGCCGAAGTTGATATACCCTTGCAGATAAAATCAGATTTAAATTACAAATATCGGATAAAATTGGCCGATCGTTATAAGAACTTTATTAAAAAACCTAGTTATTAAATTAAAAAATGAAAAAAAAGGCCCAAGCTTTTTGGGTTGGGTCATTTCCGATCTTTCAGTCGGCCGATCCTTATGAAAATTTGAATTTTTATACCCTTGCAGAGGGTATTATAATTTTGTCCAAAAGTGTGCATCGCAGTGAAGGAGACATCTGCGACCCTATAAAGTATATATATTCTTGATCAGGATCACCTCCTGAGTTGATATGAGCATGTCTGTCTGTCCGTTTCTACGCGAACTAGTCTCTCAGTTTTGAAGCTATCGTCTTGAAACTTTGCACACACCCTTCTTTCCTTTGCACGCAGTATATAAGTCGGAACGGCCCAGGATGTACCGACTATATCCTATAGCTGCCATATAACTGATTGATCGGAAATGGTATTACTTTGGTATTTTTAGAGTAAGAAAGTTAAAATTTTACATGAGAGCTACTTTTGGCAAAATAATACGACATTCCAAATTTCATAAGGATCGGGCGACTACATCTTACAGCTGCCATATAACTGAACGATCAGAAATGACCCAACTTTCGTGTTTTTGAAGATAGAAAGCTGAAACTTAGTACAGATTTTATTTTTGGTCAGTTGATCCAACCTACCAAATTTCATTAGGATCGGCCGAATATATCCTATAGCTGCCATATCACTGAACGATCGGAAATGGTATTTGGTAGAAAAATCAATTTTCGTATTTTTGAAGATAGAAGCTTGGGACATTTTTTTTTAGATATTTTATTGTAATTAATTGGTTTTATTATAATATTCTCATAAGGAGTGGCCAACTATATCCGATGTTTGCGATATATATCCGGTTTTAACTGCAAGGGTATATCAACTTCGGCTCCGCCCGAAGTTAGCTTTCCATTCTTGTTTATTTTGTTTTATTAAATATACATATGTATCTGTATTATTTTACCAAAAATAGAATCCATGGAAAGTCTCAATTATCTAAGTAATGGCATTTTCTAGAAATCCTATATAATTCCTATATAATTTATGTGGCAGCTTAAGTTTCAAGTTTCAAGCTACAAAGTTTCAAGTCGATATCTTTAAAACTGAGAAACTAATCGCGTAGAAACAGACAGACGGACAGACAGACGGACAGACAGACATTCCTATATCAACTCAGGAGGTGATCCTGATCTAGATCATATATACTTTATATGGTCGGAGGTGTTCCTTCACTGCGTTGCACTTTTGACTAAAATTATAATACCCTCTGCAAGAGTATAAATATACTTTCCTAAACCAAATCATTTATAATATAACAGGTACTTACTGGTTCCGTTCCATCCATTGCATTAAGCCAAGAAAAATGATCCTTTTCGCTCAACGCCTGAAAAGTATAAACAACTCCAGGCTTTTCTTTAAAGGTTAAATCAAAGCAAAATCGCTTTTCAAACTCAGACGCACGCCGGTGACAGGAAAATAACGTCAGTTTTTCATCTTCACGAGCCTCTGGTCTAGTAAAATTGTGATTCATTTGATTAAATTGGAGCAAGGTAAACTCTCGTTTTTGTTTTTTGAAAGTACAGTAGTACTTTGTCCATGACGCTTTAAATGGCTCCAAAAGTGATATTTTCAAAAGGGAACCTTAAAATCAATTCAATGAAATTTTTTTTTTAGTATATGAAAATACTTTATATATAGGGCTTATATTATTAGGGTAGCATATATATATACTTGTATATAGTGTAATATTCTTATATTTTTTGTTACAAATGTGGTCATTTAAACCAAATTATAAATATCCTAAAACTTATATAAGTCATACAACCATTTTTTTATAAATTTTAGTATATTGTCCCCATCCCCATTTGTTAAGAGGAGCCCTAAATAAATAATCCAATACTAAATACTTACTCCAATGAGTTCCTTTTGGAAACTGTTTTTATTTGGTAAAGTTCTCTTATAAGTAAGATACATTAAAATCTTAAATCTATTTAAAACTACTTATCAACGCACTGCACGCTGACATCCTATGCGACCCTTTCTCAAGTGCGATAAGCGCACCACTTATGTATGTGTTTGTGTTAGGCTGCAGGGGATCGGTTTTAGACCATGCTGTTTGTCTCTTATTTCATGGGTCCGATCCCTTGAAACTCTAACTTAAGAATTTGTATATATTTTTTTATAATAGTGTTCAATGCTTGAACACCATTAGTTCTTGTAACAAGATGTAACAAAATATAGGTGCAGAAACATGGAGTGACACATCGAAATTTTCAAACCATCGGAATCATCGATAATTCCATTGAGGGTAGGCACCATCGATGTTTCTGTTTAGGAGATACTTGGATGAAATACCACCATCCACTCCAGGGAGAAAATATAGGTAAAGTATCGAAGGTTTTAAGCTAGATATAATTTGGCGATTTAACATGATTTTGTCTTGATTAATATTGGTGTTGATTGAAAAAAGATAATCATTAGACGAGAGTAGTGCCTATGTCTCAAGTAGAGAAGAAATTCTTTCAAGATATTTTTTTGTTGCATCGTCTACAATAAAATGGATGTTATTTCTTTAAGATGAATTCATGCAAAAATTGCGAGTGGCCTCTTACTCTTTTAAATTTATGTCAAATCTATCAATGTAATCTTGACGAGTATTATTTTTGGCTTATTAGGCGAAGTCTTATTTTGGCTCATATGAAGTGTTTTGAAGTCTTAGTTCAAATTTTCATATGAAGCGATATAAATTCTTTTATACCCTTGCAGGGGGTATTATAATTTTGGTCAAAAGTGTGAAACGCAGTTTCGCATGAACTCTCTAATTTTGCATGATTGCTTTTTTTGACAAAATAATATGACACACTAAATTTCATAAGGATCGGTTAACTTTCGTGTTTTTGAAGAAGGAACTTTGTACATATTCCATTTTTGGTTTGTTGATCCAACCTATTAAATTTCATGACGATCGGCCGACTATATCCTATAGCTGCCATATAACTGAACGATTGAAAATGGTATTTGGTAAAAATACCACCTTTGGTATTTTTGAAGACAGAAGCTTGAGACTCTTTTGTACCTTTATTGTAATAAACTGGTTATATTATGATATTCTCATGAGGATCGACCAACTATGTCCAATGTTAATTGTTTTAACTGCAAGGATATATCCTTTCCTTTCCTAGCTTTCCTTTCTTGTGTTTTATAAAATGTGTGTAGTCTTCGAGACTACATTTTTTGTTACAAACTCCTGTTTCATTTCCTGCAAAATCAGAGTGTCCAGGTACCCATATGAAATCTTTGGAAGTTGTTAGGAGTACTATACTTTTATTAAAAAGCTTACAACGCAGTTGCTATTATCTATATATATATTATCAAAGATTATAAAGTACATAGATGGGACGGACATCAGGGCCCAAAACGAACAACTTTTTTCGTCGAGCTTGTTGGCGAACGCACATGCATACGATTCTATTTTTAGAACTCTTTATATGTATCCGTCAACAAAAATGTGAACCTATGTGTGTATGTGTGACTGCTCGCAGGACGGCGTAAAAATGTTTTGGCTTCCAAATTTCAATTTCAATTTCTCGTTTCTGTTTTCGATGCGCCGATGTGGTACTTGGTAGAACAAATAGTATTTTTAATCGCCGCAGATCGAGACAGGATGGTAGCGTAATGCATAGAGTAGTTACTCTATGTCTTATTTTTCTGTGTTCAAATCCTCGTAAGGACTGTGAACTTTTTCGTTCTTTTATAATTATTATTTTTTATTATACCCTTGCAGAGGGTATTATAATTTTGTCCAAAAGTGTGCAACGCAGTGAAGGAGACATCTCCGACCCTATAAAGTATATATATTCTTGATCAGGATCACCTCCTGAGTTGATATGAGCATGTCCGTCTGTCCGTCTGTCTGTCCGTCTGTCTGTCTGTCCGTTTCTACGCGAACTAGTCTCTCAGTTTTGAAGCTATCGTCTTGAAACTTTGCACACACCCTTCTTTCCTTTGCACGCAGTATATAAGTCGGAACGGCTGGGATCGGCCGACTATATCCTATAGCTGCCATATAACTTATTGATCGAAAATGGTATAACTTTGGTGTTTTTAAAGTTAGAGAGTTCAAATTTGACATGAGAGCTATTTTTGGCAACAAATTACGACATGCCAAATTTCATAAGGATCGGCCGACTATATCCTATAGCTGCCATATAACTGAACGATCGGAAATGACCCAACTTTCGTGTTTTTGAAGATAGAAAGCTGGAATTTGGTACAGATTATATTTTTGGTCAGTTAATCCGACCTACGGAATTTCATTAGGATCGGCCGACTATATCCTATAGCTGCCATATAACTGAACGATCGGAAATGGTATTTGGTAGAAATATCAACTTTCGTATTTTTGAAGATAGAAGGTTGGGACTTTTTTTTAGATTTTTTATTGTAATTAATTGGTTTTATTATGATGTAATCATAAAGATCGGCCAACTATATCCGATGTTTGCGATATATATCCGGTTTTAACTGCAAGGGTATATAAACTTCGGCTCCGCCCGAAGTTAGCTTTCCTTTCTTGTTTTTCTTTAATTTAAATATTTTTCTTTAATTTTACAATTTTAAAATTGTTTTATTCTTCATTATGTCCCGCTAAAAAAAATACTAATACAATTTCAAGGGAGTCCTTCCGGCATTTTGTCATCCGACACGTCCGTCACTCATTTTTACAACAATTGTAATAGAATGCAATTAAAAATAATAATAATAACGTAAAAATTAAAAAAAAAAAGTAAATATAAAATAAATCATAAAACTAAAACTTTATCAAAATCGAAACAACCGCCCGCTAATGAAATCGAACCCAGGACCCCATGAATAACGACCACGCACTTTTCATCTACGCTACCCTCAAAGTTGCTTTTATGATACTTAAAATTGGTGTTAAAGGTACCAAAAACAGAGCTGACGAGTAAGGATTGTAAAATATATTTCTGATCTCTTTACTCTCACATTGGTTCGATTGCAACGTTTCAAACTTTCATCGTTCCATAGATGTTACGATCTAAAAACGGAATTCTCTCTTTCCCTCTCTCATCTGCCAGCCGTTTGTCGTGGAACCCGCTCTCAAATGTTTTCATTATTACAGCGGGTCCCACGACGGAAAAAATGAAAACATTTGAGAGCGGGTTCCACGATGAGGCCTGCCAAAATGCCGTGGAACCCGCACTTATAGACATTTTTACAGCGGGTTCCACTACGAACTGAGACGATGTTAAGGTGATTTTACAATTTTGTGTTTTTTTTATTGGATTATAAATTTAGGAAAACACATTAAAAGAATAAAAATATAATATAAATAGATTTAAAATTTAAAAAAAAATGGATGTCCCGATCCTGGTTTGAACTCGGTTTACTTTGCACCAGGGACCGTAAATAATGATTATTGTCGCTATTTTTAAATGAATAAATCAATCACTTCCAATCAACATAGAACAAGCTTGACTAGCACGTTTTTATCCTTTAAGGATACACTATGAATATCCTTGATGATTTTTAATTTTTAATTGTTATATATTTAGATATACACAATTACCAACACAATGATAATAATGATAATCATCATAATGATCAATGTGATAAAACTTACCTTAGGCCGAAAGCGTACGAGAAGAGAAAACAAAAGAAGACAGCGGAAGCGCACGCGCTTAGATCTATTTTTAGTAGCGCTATCTTAGTCTATCAGGTCTATGCATTTGAGACGGCGTTTCCCAATTCTGGGCATTTTTGCGGGCGTTTTTGGAGCAGAAATTCTTTCAATTCTTCCAGTTGTTGCTGGTAGCGTTTGCCATCAACGGTTACACTCGGATTTAGGAGCTCATACCAAACGATTCCGGCCTGATCCCGGAAAACGCTCAGCATGGCTTTGCGGCCGAAACGGTTTGGCCTAGATTGGGATTGGGCCGGCTGGGCTGGGATAATATAGGATTTTTTTCATTTTGGGTTTTGAAAATAGATCTACATTGCATTTCCAGTGACAATGCAATGCAAAAACGAGAATTTCCAAGAAAGTTTCGCAAGTCAACATATTTTTAGATTGATACAGATGAAGCCTGCTCAACCTCAACCTCAACCTCGCTCTTGACCGAGCTTTTAAGTAGCATTGAGGTCGATGCTGAAGAGGAAGCTGACGATGATGGGCAGCAGGAATTATTAAAAGGATATGCTGAAATTGATAGTTACAGCCCGAAGCTCCTAGGCGCTGATATAATGCAGTACGAGTGAGAAGCAATTTCAGTACCCGAATTTATATCATCTTGCTAAGGTGGTGCTCGCGGTTCCAGCTACCCACAATAGCGTAGAGCGCGCCTTTTCTGCGCTTAAAATAATGCTAACCGACCAAAGGTGCAACTTGTCGAGCGAGTCGCTGTCAAAATTGTTATTCCTAAAATTTAAATAAAAATACATAAAATTTATAGTATGTCATAAATGCATAATAAATTGAAAATTAATGTACCTAATTGTTTTACTGGTTGATCATTATGATGATTATCATTATCATTATTATCATTGTTTTGGTAATTGTGTATATCTGCTGCTGCTGCTCTGTATGTAACAGTTGACCTTATATTAAATAATTGCAGCAA